CCTCAAATTTGCTCCAATTACATCTGTTGACGTCGAACGATCTTTTTCGATGTATAAACTTATTTTAAGTGACAGAAGGTTGTGCTTTAAGACCGATAAGTTGTAGCTATAAATGAGAAAATATTACATAGTAACAATGCCTAAGTTAACTGTTATTACTATTTTTTTAAATAATTATTACTAGTATTTCATTGTAGAATTTTATGTGTTATATAATAGAATGCGCTAATATAATTTGTTTATTATACGCAGTAAATATATTTCTTTAATTTACATTTATGTGTAGGCAGGCTGCCTATATCACAATATGCCTGCCTTTTTTTTTAAATCCTTGCCTATATAGGCGCCTTTTTCTTCAAATTGTCTTGCCTTTAAATCCGAGCTTTATCTATTACCTATTAAATCGCATAAGTCTATACGAAGATAAAACATTCTCAAAACTTCAAAAGGTTTCTCGACTGAGTGCACAGTGATAAACCAGTGTGACCAAAACCTTAATGTTTACACAGACACGATTTAAATCATTAACTAATAGAAGTCGTTATTTTCAGTTACCGGCGTTTTGTTTATTTATTTAAGTTTCCTCACTGTACTACAATTAATGTTGAACCAACATTCGTATGTTAACTAACATACAGAACGCTAATGCTCTGCGTAAATTCTATAATGGAACGGAAACTATGAAAGACAATGAACAGAGCGACACTTTAGTCCCAAAAGAAGGAGGTACTAGAGTATACTCGTTTTTTCCTTATATACAGCGTTATTCAGGAAGTAAGCGATTAACTTGTTTCCTTTTTAGGCGTTTTCTTGTTTTATATAGCAGAAGGCCTTCTGGGGTATAATTTAAAACAGGTGTTTAATTTATGTCCCAATTTAAACTCCAGGATTAAAATAGATTTCAATTTTATTAAAATATATCTAGCGCAAGATTTACTCTTTCAGAGATATATCCGGATTTAGAAAATGATAATTTATTTCGAAATCGATAGATCAATTTAACAACAAATTCTATCGGGAAATATTCCAACCTACAAGATACATACTAAAACAGTTTTGAAGGAATTCCCCTAGAACAAGAACAATGTCAATTCGTCATGTCATTTACGTCACGTCAATGTCAATGTCATTTACGGGTTTTTAGATTCAAACAAAACATTTATGTTTGTGCCATAAGTTTGAATCATTAATTGATTGATGAGACGGACATCATCACGTTATGGATTAAAATGAAAATAAGACTCCACCGATCAATCAAATGACCCCCTCTGGTTTGCTGGCACAGACGTGCTATTTTCATCGCAATTTTACGGACTGTTACCCTTTAATTTTGCGGTTTATCAGGAATCAGAAATATAGCACATCTTCTGACAGAAGAACAGTTTTGCGAATAAAGAAATATGTATAACTCCCCGAGAAAGAAATGTTTTCTTCATTTTGCAACGGAATTTGCTACTGATCTTACATTAAATTAACTCATACTCTGCAACATTGTCTATCATAAAAAATGTATCAATTAGCCATCAACTTGAATTACACGGTGACTCAAAATTGGCGTCATTCCTTTTAAGGGGTAGTAGGGGCTCACTTGGAAGGTACGAGAAAAATAATAAATTTTTGTCGATCATTTCTAGAAGATATTAACAGTTGAAAATCTAATTTCAAATTTGTTTGAACTCTCTCCGAGGGACACTTAGAACATTGCACAACTGCTGACACTTTCCCAGGCACCAAATTAATTCCGGCTACATTCCTGCCACGTATGTAAGATCACATTAAACTAATGGAATACTGAACACCGGTATAAATTGGGCAAGAGTTAATTAACCAAACACGAGAAGAGTGCATAATAAGATGATTACTTGTTTGAGTTACAGACTCAAGTGCATGTTTTTGTAATTTGTAAACAAATTAATCATTTGAGGTTGTGGGTTGTGAGTTTCGAAATAGGTTCCGTCATTCAACGATTCCTATTGAATTTACCGTTTATCTTTGCTTATCTCAATGTCACTTTCTCTGTTTATCCATGGTTTTCGGAGTTTTAATTAATTACGAAGCAACAGGTATTTACGTAATGTTAACTAGGCCGATTACATTTAAAAACATTTTTTCCAGTTTTGTTATAAAGTTTTTTGCAAATGTCTCAGTTTTCAATAACAATTAATTTTTTTACTATTTTTTCTGTACTCCTAAAACACCGGCAGACATCACCTCCAGAGGAATGTCGCCAATTTGAATAACCTTGTATTTTGATGCCTGACATGCATTTAATATGATCAAATTGTTAAATAGTGTTGAAATTATTAAATATTATCTCGAAAAATAAAACCATTGTTCTCCTGTTTTTGTTAGCAATTTGATATTGCATAAACACTGGCTACACAAATAATCATATTTTTGTTTTCCCACTCCCAATATCAACGCTAAAACTTAATTGAAAAAAATACGTTGCAGATGGACGAGTATATGTGGGCACCACAGCTTAATGTTGAATAATTGTACACATATTTTTGGAGGACTTGGCACCACGTATTTCACACATATGCTACGTTGTAATAATGATGTATGGAGACAATGCAATGGGACAAACAAGAAACGGAGGTATATAAAATGTCTACCTAAACGCAACAGAATAATAGAAATAAATGCTAATTTGTGTTTTGCTCTCATGTTCCCGCTCGTTAAATGCGTATTACAGTAAACCTCGTGCCAATTAAAACGAACATTTTCATTAACAAATTTCATTCAAAGGAAAACACTCCCGCAAAATGTTCATTTCAGTCCATTTTCACGAGTTTAAATCTGTCCATTTATTTTTCCAGTGGCAATGTTGATATGGGCACACTACAAAAGAAGAGACGTTTGCATTTCACAGATAGTGTTGATGTGTTTACTGCGGCTTGAAGGAAGCGGTAGTTTTTTAATCAATTTGGTTAATTTAATTTTGATATAAGTAATCCTGTCGCTGATCTCCTACCTGAATATACGAGCCGGGCGATGTTCCATGAGTAGAAAGTAAAGCATTTATACTTACTTTTTTTTATATATTGTACCGTGGATGGCCGGGTATGAAACTCTTTCTTCATCTTCCAACTTTTATTCACCTCGGTATAACTTTAAATGCGGAACAGGAACAAACTAACTTCAAAATTACACCGTCAACTTCACAAACAATAACAATAACAGACGGAAAACTCGTTCTTCCGACTCAATGGGTTAAATCTCTTTTGCACCCTGTCGTTGCTGTCACTTCACTGACTCCCCATGGTTCTCGTCGCCGCTTATATGACACTGTCAAGCGGGAAATTTCGCGCCTGGTCTGGAGATTTCGAGAACCGTCTGGGTTACCTGGAGAAAACTATATAAGCGGCGACGAGAACCATGGGGAGTCAGTGAAGTGACAGCAACGACCGGGTGCAGAACAGATAGGCTCCATGATATCCGGAGAACGCGGTATTAATATTATTATGACTGTCGGTATAAGTGCAATCGGAATCCATGTACCACCGTTACAAATTTTTCCGAGAGTTTATTTTAAACAGCATATGAACGGAGCTCCTCCAAGCACGATTGGAGCCGCTAATCCGTCAGGTTGGTCTAACGAAGAAATATTCTTCCAGTACATTCTTCAGGGAACTTCATCGATCATGTAAAACCATCTAAGGACAGCCCAGTGTTATTGGTTTATGATAATCACGATAGCCATATTTCCCTTCCTGTAATCGATCTTGCAAAATCTAACGGGGTTGTGCTATTAACATTTCCACCCCACACGTCGCACAAGCTCCACCCATTGTCCTTATAAGACCTACTACAATCAAGGTATGAATGAATAGATGCTTCAAAATCCAGGAAAGGCAATAACCCTCTACCAAATTGCCGAAATTGTTGGGAGAGCCTACCCAAAGGCATTTACTCAACAGAATATAACAAATGTTCATTGAACGCGTCGAGGAGTATATTTATCTAGGCCACATTATCAAACTGGGGAGAGAAAATCAGCATGCGGAAATTACCAGACTAATTAGACTTGCGTAGGCAGCCTTCGGAAAACTTGGACACATCCTAAAGAACAACACAATTCCTGTGAATTTGAGCGCTAAAACGTATAATACGTGTGTCCTGCCAGTCAATACATACGGAATGGAAACCATATGCGTCACTAAAGCCTACGCCAAAAAGCTCAGAACTTCTCAAAGAGCTATGCACCGAAGCATGATTAGTATCTTACTTCGAGATAGAGATAGAAACGAAGAGATCAGCAGAAAAATGAAGATCAGTGACATAGTCGAGCAAGTCGCGAAGATGAAATGGCGATGGGCTGGACACGTGGCTAGACAACCCAAAGACAGATCAGAGGGGCGCTTAAAACCACAGAATGGAGGCCAAGACAAACAAAAAGAAGCGTGGGAAGTCCCCAAAAAGATGGGTAGACGATATCAGAGACGTGGCAATTAAACGATGGTTGAACATTGCACTGGATAGAGAAAAATGGAAGAGTTTGGAAGAGACCTACGTTCAGGAGTAGACGGAGACAGGTTGAAAGGCAGAAGAAAGAAGAATATAACAAAGGGGTTTTCTTTAACAGGCTTTTGCCCTTTAAATACAGAAATCTTCGGTGAAGACGAGTTCTTAAGTGCTTTTGCAACAGATCGACCAGATACCAAAAATGCGATTGTAGAACATCTCAAACATTTTAACGAACCTGGTCCCTCTCAGTGACCTGAAAACATATCTCCACCACTGGTAAATTTTGTGAGTCCTGAAGTTATAAGGCCGTATCCGAAAACTCCATCGAGAAAAACTAAAGGAGGCGGGAAGAAAGGAACATTGAGAACATTAACAGAAGCCCCAGAAAAAGATGCGATTGAAATAGAATATTTAAAGAAGCAGGCCAAACAAACAAAATTTAAAAAGTTACAAAAAAGTATTTGAACATAGTTCCGACTATGAAAATAGCGAAATACCTATCCAAGATTTTAGTGATGAAGACGATTATTTGGAAAAATTAATTGAGCAAGAAAGTTTGGAGATGGAACAGGATAGAGATACAGAAAATTCCACTTTAATAGAAGGAGATTTTGTATTAACCGAACTGGTGGTCTATCTAAAAAAAACTAATAGATAGTAACAAATTTTTGAAGACTGAAGAATTATATAAAATCAGTGAATCAGACATTTTGAGAAAACTACCGAAACAGTAGTTGGTGGATCGGATCGTCGAATGGAACAATTCTCTTTTTCTGTAGACTTTATTTCTTTCGAATATTTTATATAACTTTTTATTTGCTTATTTCTCATCTTTAGGTATAATTAGCGTTATCTTGTACAATTATACCTGTACCAAGGTACAAGGCACAGTTGTACCTTGGGAGAATTTGCAATTGAACATGGAACATATTTTTTCAAATCCTTGGTTAATAACATAACATTACCTTTTTGCCAATTTTACCATAAATTGCTGAAATAGCACTAGATGTACTGGTTCAGATTAGATGACGGTATTAACAAAAATATTGACAATAAAAAATAAAAACCGAAAAATGTTCCACGGTACAACACTCCCCCCTACATTTCTACTTTTACAGTTTCATGAACAAATGCATATTTGCGAATCCGTTTACTACTCATACATCCCCATATATCCTCTTGGTTACATTTTCCTGTGCGCTTTAAATAGTCTTTCTAGTCCTGATTTTGTTCAAATAGCTTTTTTCCGAAAATCACCTACGTATACGTCAAATTTTGATTTTTCACCTCCTCAAACACTTAAAATAACGTTCTTCCGCATTTTCGTTTACCAGGATATTTTATATTTACTCCAACGCAAACGTTTTGCTTTTGGATAGCTGTAAATAGTGGCTTTTTTTCTTTGCCTAAATTAAAAGCAGATAAAAAATTACAATATTTTATATTGAACACCATAAAATAATAAACATTTTTTAAACGAACTGTAACTAGATTTGTGCAGCCATAGTCTACTGCATTCGCACGATACATTTAAAGTTGATTCCTGATTAGATTGAGCTGGAATTTGTCGTAGGGTGCTTCTTCTGTTGGATCTACGGCATTTTACAAATACACAACGCTCTATTTGAGGAGATAATACGGGGTTGGCATGAACAGAATGAACAATTTTTATCATTTGTAATTTTCTACATTGATTTGCTTTTAATGCATTGAGAAATTATAATCTATCGTGCCTTTTTATCTGTTGAATTTTGTTTCTGGATGTAAAAAACTTGCTTTTAAAAAACGTTTATTACGAACCAAACTTAAAATATACAGTGGTCTTCATAAGTGGTCATATAACTCCTCCCTCCTTAAGTTTGAGAAAATTGGGAAGTTAAATTTTCAAAGGTTTGAGCTTTATGTCCACTTTTACATTTGGTTTCTTTCTTAAATAAAAGTACAAACTTACAATTACAATTATTACAATCATTACAATTAT